TTTTTTTTTTTTTTTTTTTTTTCCTGTGTTACAATCACGGTTCATAATGATAATGCCTGTTATAGTCCCACCCCTGTTTTTTCCTCAGGGTTTGATAATTGGCAGGGAACTTTTGTTATGGAAGCATGAAAAAACTATGTTCACAGCTTGGGAAAAAAATTTCTTTTTAGCTTTTTTTGAGTGCAGTTTTCTGTGAACAGTGATTATAAAAAGAAAGTGGCATTGTGGGATTCTATAATTATTGTTTCTCAATTATGCCCAAACTAGATTTGCTCAGTTTGCAAGTAAAAAGATGATTCTTTTCTAACAAATAGACTTTCTGCCAACTCACCCTGAGAACCAAAGTCAAACTGGGTTCTCTGGCGCATCCTCATTAACACTGTGTGTAACTCCCAGGTGTTAGTATCTGAGTCTAATGCCTCCTTACTGGACATACCTTCCAACCTACACAAACTGGCTTGGCGACTCCTCTTTCTGCTCACTGAAAAGAGCTCAGCTACTTTCTTGCTCCTGTGTCCTTCACCATCTCAAGGAATCATCATTTTCTACCTCTTCCACTTATCCAGACAGGGCAAGAAGCCCCCCGCTCCACCACTGTGGAGTCTCATGTGCCTCAAGGTGATGTCCCAGGTCCCATAATGATTTTTAACAGAACCTCCATGGTTTGTCTCTTACAGCTAATAAACTTTCCTTCGCTCCAATCACCTTCAAGAAAGTCAGGAACTAGTAAAAGGGAGGTACATCACACCAGCACAGATTCAAAATCAGCTGCGGTAGGATCATGCAGGTGACTCTGACCAAGCAAGCCACTCGATTTCTGCATTGCCCCTACCCCACTATAGGCAGAACAGACTTCTTCAGTCTGGCACAGAAATTAGTCGTGTCCCCCATTTCACTCATCTGGGAATTCGATTATTTTCCTTAACAGTTGCTTCAATATCAGGTATTTTTTACCAGATTAAATAATATCCATTATTTTATTGCAACTTTTTCTTTCCATGGACATTTTTACTGAATAGTAAAGTCTGTTTGAACTTCTGGGGTTTTATTAGCTTGGATTTAAATTTTAGCTCATCTGAGATAAGAACTTCCCTATTTCCATGTTGCTGGGGAAAGAAAAGTGATGAGAAATAAAACCAGAATAAACTAATAATGGAGACAGACATACTATAATGCTGATCCTGTAGAGCATTTTGGATGACTATTTCATAATTGTAACAAGCATATTTTTTTATACTGTTATTTTCCCTATTTAAATACATTTCATTAGCACTACAGGAAATTCCTCCTTTTTTTTGGTAACACCTACTTTTTATGAGGTAGTTAAATACTTATATTGCGTGCTGATTATTATTTGCAGTTTGTATAGGAACTTCAGCACGGTGGAGTTGAGTTTAGGATGTATCATAGGCTCAAGTTTATGACTTCAGCTTGTAATTTTGTCTTTTGAAGTTTAATGGTAGTTAAAAATTCAAACATTGGGTCTAGTGGCTGCTTAAATATTTAGCTTCTAAATGCCTAGAGATTAAAACAATGTTTAAAAAAATCTTTCCTATAACTGATTTAAACATTTTAGTGCCTGAACCATTTACTCTGACAACATAATGAATGGGAATCAGGCTCCTAAATTATGCTCTATGGAAAGCATATTTCTTTAAGGAGCAAAAGCTTTTTACTTATCTTTAGCTATTCATATTAGCTATATGATCATTGTACTGTATGCTATTAGAAATGAAAACTACAATATTTACATTAATCTTTACTATTCAAAGTATTGAAATCATCTTTGTTAACCTGACGTCTTGTAAAATAACCGTAATACCTACGTACTCAGTGTGAGCTTTCAGTTTTTTACCTTTAACATAGAACATCTATGTACAAGTTATTAGCAAAGCTCTATCGTGTTCATTTTCCATTAGAGTTGAAAAATTATTCCTATTCCTACTTCTCAGGCTTTGGACTGATTCTTATTACATGGCTTACGCATTTTTCTTTGGATTCTCACAACACGTACCAAAACCTTGAAATATTAGGATGCAGTTTAAGTTATTACCAATGTACTAGAAAAACAAAAGAAATTAATAAAATCAGATACAGTTAATGAAATTCAGAAACTTTGCTTTGCATAGAATATTATTAGCCTGCTGTGCCTGGCAATGCAGACATCACTTTATACTCTGAGAAGGAATGACTGTCATGTCTGGCAGCTAAGCAAGTACGGAGTAAGCATATTACCATTTATTTCC